CATGCCATCTGGTGCTGACAATTCCCACATAACAAATGCCTGATGCATTGTGGAAATACCTTGTCACACTGACTGCAGAGGGGGCCTTTGGTACACTTCCACTATTAGAAATATGACTGTTGTTCTATTCATTGAAGGCCATCCTTCACATATTATTAAACATCACTGACAAATATATAAACTAAATAAATGGAAGTTATTATATTTTGACAGTCATTTAAACAGTGAGACTTGGGTTTGATTTTAGAACATGGGCACTGTCTGCCAACTGTTGCATTTTGATATATGCATAAACATGCCAGTGTAGATATTTTTTCTAAGAAAGTACAAGGAACACGTAATGAGTATTTGTGTTGATGTGCATTTGGTTCTTTCCATGACTTGCTTCAAAATGAAACCATTAAAACTAATAAGAATGAGAATATTAAGTTTGTGATGAGCCTTTTAGAAACCATAGAAAAGGGAGCATATTTTATATGAATAAAAATCTTTTGAGCATTTGAGCTGCGCTAACAAAAAAGGTACAGGCCCTTTTTTATCAGGATGAGTTGATTTACAGAAAACATTAGGCATCTCAGTTAAACTGACAGGGTATAACATTTACCCCTGCAGGTACTGAAGTGATTTTCTGGGTTGACATTTGCTTCTTAGTATTATAACTTAACCGATAGAACCTGTTCTGATCATCTTCAGCTATATGATACTAGAGGTTGATTAGTTAGTACTTATGTTTTGTTAATGGGCTTTTTGTGTGGAGGTGGCATTACCTGATTGCAAGTTAGGCATTGTTAATGAGATGCAGCATTGGATTGAGCACAGTAGGAGAGACAGATAAAGCTACCAGCATCTCCATACAGTTTTGGGGTCCCTTAACTAGATTTCTGTTAATTTTATCTGCCCAAATCCTTGATGGGCTGCTATTCATTGTACAACTTGTAGTAGACATTTTTCAGATACTGCACTGCCAGATTAGGCATGTGGTAACAGACACAATAGTGTGAATGTTTCTCTGCTAGATCCCCCAGCACAAAAGGCTGAGCGTTTATACTAGAGTCTAACAACAGGGAATTCATTGCATATTTTCCATATATTAATGAGCTAAGGGGACTTAACGTTCTGTAAGTGGAACTTTGATACGTATCTCTACAGTTATTTTCTCAGTTCTTCTCCACACTCTAAAGCAGCACACTGTTTTCCTATCAAATATTCCAAAATAATTCTGCCAGGTCTTATCATGGCTTCTTTGGAAACTTATGGCCATGATGACTGTGAGCACTTGCAGTGTGCTCCTTGTTTCAGCAGCCATTTCTTAGGTCAGTGTAATAAACAATTTCCAGGAATAAGGTGGTAAAGTCCTGGAAAGAGGAGCAGAAGCTCCTAAGTTTGAAGACCTTTTAAAGCTTTCATAGGCTGCCACTGTGGGTAATATCTGTGCAAGGATGTATCAAAAGGAGCAGATTTCACATGAGGTGTATTTTATGTGGTGGTAGTAGGATGGGGGTTTTGTAGTGGGGAGTGTGAAGGTGTCTTGTTAGGGGGAGTAAATGTATTAGTTACACCTTCATTAGCAACACACAAGGAGGAGGAAAGGATGTTTCTAAGTTTGGCATGTGCTGGTACTCAAGTCAGTGTTAAAGCTGGCAGTCCCTTTTCCAAATGTATATAAAGGCAGCTGTCCTGCTCACAGTGACATTTTAGCTATGAAGCAACTGGGAAAGAACAGGAGAGCTTTCGTTAGCAGTTTCCAAGCAAATTAGAAAGATCTTAGAGCAACAAGATCTTGTGTGTTTCTGGAGACACAGAAGCAATACGGGCTTTACCCATATGGCCAGAGGCATGTGGAGATGGTCAGCACTCTGACGTACTTTCCAGAGTCAGTAGTGTTGAATGAGCAGAGCAAAGCTTAGCCCTGGCTGTACATGCACATGGGGTCTTTCCTTCACCCACCATGCCTCTCAAACCATGCAGAACTTTCCACACACCCTTGTTCTTACTGACTTATCAGACTTGCACCCACTGTGACAACAGCAGTAATGAATAAATCTGTTCTTTAAAGGAGAGCCCCTGAACTGAGAGGAGCAAAAGAGGTGATGGCTGCTTGCTTCTAGGATTTGCTGTACTTGAACGGTTGGGACTAGATCCTGGTAATAGATGGTGAGATGTGACTAGTGGGCACTGCTGTAGGAAGCCCAGGCCAAGCTAGAGACCTTGGTGTGTAGTACATGCTTCACCCCACACCTATCCATAGCATACAGCCTGCCCAACCCTCCCTTCTCCTCCAGCCAGATAAACCACGTGAAGTCTTGAGGAGGCACTGCTTGCCTGTACCTTACAGCTAATGCTTCTTTGCCTTTTTGTGCCCTTGTCCTTTTCAGTATTCTGGAGGAGCACTCACTGCAGTAACATGGGCCAGTGTCACTCATTACTTTACCTGTTTTATCTTTTGTGAAATTGAGCCTTTAGCCAGAATTGCCTGAGCTGCTGCTCCAGCAGTCGGTTAACTGTGAGGGTCCTCGAGCTCATTTCTCTCAAGTAATTTGATTCCCACGTGCTCACTGAGATTGCTTTCTTGCTGAAAGGAAAAGTGGGGAAGGGGGTTGGGTGCACGTGTGGGAGCAGACCAGGAATATTATGGCAGACAAATGTAGCTTAGAGAGACAAACAACGCAAAGATGTGTTTAAAAAGATCCCATCTCGCTTTATCTCCCTTTAACCCAGTCCTGTAAAACAACATGTTTTTCTGCTTGAGAATCGGGGACACAGGGTCTTTTGTGCTGGAGCAGGGTATGGATCGGGAGGCTAAATTCCATCCTGCTTCTGTGTAAAGCAAATAAGGCGATCGTTTCATTAAAATTACTAGAAATGTGTATAAAATACTTATTAATACTTTTTGTAACTGGTCATAAAAGGCTTCTATAGATTTCAAGGTATTTTCTGAAATCATACACAGAATTCAAGGCTTTTTACTTTGGCCACTAAACTATTTCTTTTATATTGTGGTTACTTGGGAGTAATTGAACACCAGTTTCCTAGATGAGTTTCTATTTAAGATAGGTTTGTATGGCAGCAGCTTCCTAAATAATGTACAATTTCTAGAGAGATTCTGTAAAATTGTCAGTGCTTTATCACAGGTTTGGATGAATACCCTGCTGCAGGGGAGTGAAAAATAAGCCTGAAAAGTTAATCTTGCTGGAGGGAGAATTGTTCTGGAAATAAACCATCCAGTGTATAAACAATGGTGTATCAGTCGTCTCAAATACGCATTTGTCCCTCTGCATGGTGTTTGTTGTGTGTCCAGGCAGATCTACCATGCTCAGGCTACAGACTTTCAATGTTAAAAGTCCCAGTTTGTTAAAGAGGATATTACTAATTTGAGCAGACGTTGTGCTTAGAGGTCTGTTATTTTGTATGATGAAAATGAGGCTGTTGGAAGTCCCTGCTTTGGGTTTCATTAGTGTTCATTACTTCGTGCCATAAGAAATATGCCTTGATGATAGCGGCAGCGTTATTAAATGTCACAGGAATATATTTTCCTAGCATTAGTGGAAGTATCCACAGTAACACTTGTAGGATCTTAAATAATTTTCCATCTTGGACCCTGAAAAAAAGAAAAGACATTTAAAAAATAAAAAAAAATGCTTTATTGAGAAATGGGTTAAATGTCAGTATTACCCAGACATTAACTATTTTACTTGCTACACTTGCTGGATGGTTGTCACCTACCACTTTAAAACAGTACACACGCTGCTGGACAAAATCCTTGCAAAGTCTAGTTACAGGGAGTAATATTTGGGGGATGTGACTCCGTGTGGAGGGATTCTCTTCTTCCCCCTGATCTATCAGTTCACAAGTTCTGAAAAAGGGTTAAAGAAGATAAGAGTTTGGATGATAACAGAATGAGTTTGGAGGATTTCCTGGGGTAACAGTTGGACTTGATCTTAGAGGTCTTTTCCAGCCTAATTGATTCTATGATTCTATAATGTGTCAGGTCAGTAAGCTGGACAAGTCAACTAATGTGCGATGTGTGCATTTCAGTTTATGGTGCAGGGGTGATTTACGATGTAAAAAAAGGCTGGATGTATGCCAGCTGTATGCCAAATTTCATGACTGTTTCTGTCTTGCCCCTTTGCTTGCTTGTATGCTGTGCCTGCAGCTCCACCTCTTCAAAGACTTTTCTATTAACCTAACCTACTGAGAGCTATTCATACAGCTGATGGGGTTTTATTTTTCAGCCCTCGCAAAAATGATTTGCTGCCCTCAAGTTAGGAATTTATAGGAAAATTAAATTAAGGCTGTCTAAGTAGTGAAAGCATCTTTAGATTTGATAGATAGAGACCATCAAAGCAGAAAGTCTGCATCCCTGGAAAGATATCTGATATTGTTTATTGCTAGTATATCATGCAACATCAGGCCTTAAATTCATACGCTTATGCTTCATGAATGCCTTAATTTCCAAAGTTGTTTGTTATATTTTAGGTCACAAACGCCTGTGGCATTGGGGTCATGGTATTGTATGGTTCTGCTGACAGATGGATTGAAGAAAGAAAGCTTTAAGAAAGCATTTATACCTTTAAAAAAATCTCTGAATTACTATTCTATGATTCTATGATACTATGCAATGTAAGCCTAGTATGTGTTATTGTGATATATGTGTTGTATTCTTGCCTGCTTAGGATGACACTTGTAGCTCTCTATTGTCTCTCCTCCTCTTGAGCAGTGGAGCTTTCCTAGACTAGAGTTTGAAATCATAAATAAATAAATTAAAATCCAAGAAAATAATCACCAGCTCTATTTCTAGTTTGTTTAGCTAGGTAAAAAAAAGTAATTGATATTACCTAAAGTAATTGATGTTACCTTAATACAAATCTGTGAAGGAGTTGTCCAGCTGTATTCCCAAAATAGTCCAAATAGGTGGGGGAATAAGCCAACAGAGTTTTGTTTTCCTGTATGTGTAGAAAAATGCGTGCCTTTTATTTATCTCTTATTTCTTCTGTCTTTAGGTTTTCCAAATGAGCCTGCTGCTGTCATTGCCCTAAACACTGTTAAGGAATGGTTAAGCAAGAATCACAATGAGGTATGGAATAAAATATAAATTTCCCAAATTTCTCTTTGAGATTATTGGTTTTGACTCCAAAACTGTGGAGAAAGTAAACATAGGCTGGAGCCTTCAAAGTATTTTATTACTTAGTTGTAAGACCGATGAAATCAGGTCAGGACAATATAGCTGGTGAAGACTGTTATGTTTAAAAGCTACACTGGAGTTGAAGGGAAATACCTTTGTTTGAAACCATACTGTGTGTTTCCTGTGCATTGTGATCTTTCCTGGCCAAGTAAAAGACTATTCTCTTCCTAAAGTGCTTCTGAGCGTCAGAGTTTTTGTGTAATGATGAGGAGATTTGTGGAAAGGAAATGTATATACCAGTTGTCAGTAGAAACGGGCACCAAAGGTTAGTGGTGTGCCAGGGGTCACTTTACAGTAAAGACTTGTATGATCGTGTTTTTCTGTTGTCAGTTTTTGGTTTGCTCACAGTTAAGCATTAGTTTTCCCTGGAACACTCACCAAATATGGGGTACAAGTGTGAATTTGTAACAGGACTGGTCCTCTTCCAGTGACAACACGATGGTGATTATTTTTACAAGGCAAAACCACATGCGTTCAACAGAATGACCTCCCTATCGCCCCTTCTCTCTTTCTCAGGTTTGAGTTCCTAGCAGGCTGCTAGTTCCTAGCGTTGATTTGGAGAAATGCAACAGAGAAGTGACAGGACAAATAAAGTAATCATGATGTCTTAAACCGGAGATGTGCCTGTTTCCTCCTGGTGACAGCCAGCACATTTCAGACAGCTGGAGTTGTTCAGTATTTTGCCTGAAAATATGTAACAAAGCATCCAGTGGAGAAGCACTGGATCCAGGGGCATAATTAGTAGGATTTTTCCTCTAGCAGCATATTCAGGGGGTCTTTTTCTCCTCAGAATCTGATGTGTGAGGGTATAAATTCAGAAGTTTTATGTGGTTTGTTTTGGTTTTTACCAGATGAAATGAAAGGAAATACTGTGTTGAGATTTGAATGCTAAATTCCAGAAGGTATACTAAGGAGTATATGTACATGTTTGGACACTGGTTCTTTGTAGTTGTAGTCTATTAGTATGTCATCTTAATGCTTGAGTGTAAGGTTAGAACCTCTATGTTTGTGCTGCTTTGCCATCTTGTAATTTCTCTGTGTTGCATTCTTACCACGTAATTTTAACAAATAGGCTAAAAATCTTTTTTGGCTCCAGAAATAAGCATTTCTTCCTCAAAAGCTGAGCATGTATTGTACATACATCCCTTAATTACTTTTCTCTTAGTGATATTACAAGAAACCTGACTTCATTTGGCAGACTGCCTGTCTGTCACCTCTCCTTCCTTCTTTTAGTTAGTGTGTCTCTTCCACATTTTTCTGGTTCCCTCCATGGACTTCACGTGAATTTCTCCCCTTCTCCTTAGAAAGATCCAGGTCTGTTTTGGAAGAATACTTACAGTTCATAGCAGGTAGTGATTGAAGTGACAGTACTTGTGATATATGTTCATTACCTGTGTTTGCAAAATGCCACTGTACTTACAGTCCACGCAGATTAGTGTAAGCTGTGAACATTGACTATGCATGATTCCTCCTTTCTCACTTTGTAATAAATTCCCTTCTAATTCTTGGCCTCCTAGCTCTAAACCTCCTGTCTTGCTCCCCACAAACTCCAATTGGATCTGAAATCTTTTTAAGTAAGTAGCTGTAGTTTACAATGCTTGGACAGTGAATAGAGCCCAGGCTGTCTTGACTACAAAACAATAGGTAAAAGCTATCTTACTGAGCTTACATCACAGCTGGGGTTTGAATTTTGGACTAGTATAGCTAATAGTTGTTATAGTAAATGTTTCCTGATACCCTGAATGCCAAACTTGCCAGGTTGGTCTCATGCTGTTTGGTGCGATAGAAGATGTACATGTGATGAGTTTGATGCAATTATTGTGTATCAGTGAATACGACAATTCAGATCTAGTCCGCAAGAGCTTTTGTCATTTTCAGACGGAGTACTAGATGTCGGGCAAAATACATTTTGAGAGTCCAGTTACCGATAGCTTTGTACTTTCCTTGTACAAAACTTCCCCTCTTCATAGGGATTTTGTCCATCTGCTGGTTTGAATTTTAGACTATGGCATGCTTGCATGCTCTACACATCATAAATAGGTCAGCAGCAAAATAAAAAAAGTGAACAGTTGTATTGAAGGTAGCAGTAACTTGTGCAGTGAGATCTTGGAGAAGCATACAATTGGATTGCTGTTGTTTAATGCATATAGCATGGTGAGCCTAGTTCACCTGATTTAAATGACCTGGCGTAGCTCTGGGCCAGGTTTTAATCTGATCCATTTCATATTGTGTATATTTACTCCTTTGGATTAGATTTTTTGGGCTTTGAGTAGTAATATTATACATCACCCAAACCTTTCCCCAAAGTAGCTCATCATACAGCAACAGAAATGAGACTTTGCAAGTCTCAACAGCAGAATCTCCTCTTACTGCAACCATACGATATTATCCTTCCTATAAACTTCTGTCATAAAAATAGAGCAACTCCCACTGCACTCACTGGATATTTAAATTCACATGTTCCAGTCCGGGAACAAAACCTCTCAACGATTTGCCACGAGGCCAGCACTTCAGAGGGCTGCCCATGTTTCACTCCTGTTCCTGCTAACCAGAACCACTCCCCTGGCGCTGGCTGTGCTGTCAGCATGAGTCAGTGTGTCATGCTAACAGCCTCTCCTGAACAAGAGAGGCCTCCTGCACTTGGCTCTGCCAGAATTAAATGAATCGGTCTGCTTCTTCCCTTCATTCCTCCTTGTGCAATCTACCTTGCCTTTGAGAAGGGTTCTGCTCCTTTAGTCCCGAAGATGCTTGGCAGGCAGTTATTCCCTGGGTAATGTTAGGTGCTGGTTGTTCTAACTCAGATCTCAAACTCTTCGAGTGTAGAATGTGAATTGAATGAATTCAAGGAGTTTTGGTGCAGGATGGAGACCATAGCGATAACCTGCTCACTGGGAAATTTGCCTACATAACAGTATGCTTGGCAACAGCAGATAGGTGGGTAAGATGGAGACCTGACAAATTTATAAGTCTCTTGTTGTGCTCTATAGCAGCAGTGCCTTATCTGCCTTCCTGCATCCCAGGAAACTGTGACAAATTTGAGAAAGATAAGGCAATATTGTTGTTTTCTCCTCTCTACCTTCCTGTAGTGCTTCTCTCCTTTGATGCTATAATGAAGATTTTATCCACACTGATATTAATTAAAAATACAAATAAATCAGTGGTTATATTCCTTAGCCTGGGGGCCTGAAAATATAACCTGAATGATTCCATTCTTGCAGCTGCATTGGAATCCAACAAAGTTCTCTGTCGTAGGATTTGCAAGAAAAGTGATTTGCATTTAATAAAAGGTTTTCTTATCCGAGTCCATGGTTGTGCTTGACCCCTCAGGTGTTTGCATAAAAACTTATTAGCATGCTTAACTCTGATGTCGCTCAGATGAATATCTCATTACCATGCAAATGGAGTTAGCTCCTTTCTGAGGTTAATTGTTACAAAGCAAGAGAGGGATCTATTGTAATTTAGTGAACAGGGAACACCAGCTAGGCAGGGCAGCAGCCATCCTAGTCTTAGCAGCCTAAAACTTAACTACATAAAGTCCACTAGGGAAAACAGTATTGTAAGTAAGTAGTGGTTTGCACTGAGTTGTATGTAACACAGCACTGTTCTGGTCTTGCAATGCAACTCTTGGTCAAACTAAGTTTGGGCCGTGTTTTACACCAGAGTCTGCTGACTTGCAGCCAGAGGGCAAATCTAGTTTAGAAGCTGGTAAATGGTGTTATACTGTAAGTGTAGAAAACCCTTGGAGCAAACTGACAGGAATGGCCACAGTCAGCAGTACTGGTTAATTTACTGCAGACCACCTAGGCTATCTCTTTAGCAAACTGCATTTTCACATTTCACAAAGTGCTCTAGAGGTTTAACACAATTCTTCAGAGCACAAAATAGAATTGGATCCCATCCTTTAGAAAATGATACACTGGGATTCATTTAAAAATGCTTCATACGCTCTTTGAATGTTCTGAGTGTTTCTTTCTGGGATAATTTGGCCAAGTTTGAGATATTGCCACCTGATTTCCCATAATGGTATTGCAAAAGAGTTGTGAAATCTTTACATTCTGGACCCCACTACATTTTGGGGGGTGACAGGACAGTGTTATATTTGGGGTGTTTGTGGCAGGTATCTCTGAACACCTGCAATGTTAGAAATCGTTATTTATTTTCAGTAGTACACTGTGCTTCTCAAAAGGGTGAACAATAAAAAAGCTCACTGTATGCCGTACCTTATGTGTCACTGACATGAAAAACCTCAGGACTGTTTCACTGCTCAAGAGCAGACTTTAATTTAACAGCACATTTAGTTCAAAGTATTGTTCTTTCTCTTGCACAATATCTCAAAACATTTATTACGCACCCCAGCAGAACAACAAACAGCAGAGTGTGATTGCAGTATATGTTCCATCCAAATAACTGATGCAGATTAAAAGCACATAAATGGAAAATCAGTCAACGTATTCCTGATTCCTTTTCATTAGAATCACTACTGAGGAGACACTTTTTCTTATTTTGCCTGAAGTATGTAAGATTTAAGTCTCTGCGTTTTAGCAAGTGATTATGCGTCATCCCACTGACAGAAGAGTTTTGTGTGTTGCCAGCAAAAGAGGATAAGCAAAATGCTGGAGCAGTTGAAATTAGTGGAAATCTGTTTTGGATAGGGAGAGGAGAAGACTTTGATCCCGCTGATAAAAGCTGTGTGAACAATTGAGCTTCAAAGGATGGGGAGGGTACGTAGGAATTTGAGGAAGGGACACCCTGTGATGAGGAGCTTGAGGGGTTATGCTCTTTTCCTTGTTCTCACAGACCTTGTCACCCTGATGGTATGGTAAGCACGTGCTTCCTCCTGGTCAAGAAGGCCACAGTAGGGCAGTGAGGGCAGCTTCCTCAAGTGTAGGATG